AATCAGTGATTACCTTTTTTTGCTCCCTCATGGCCTTTCTTTCCTTGCATACTGTCCTTCAAATATTTGAACTATATGGTTATGCTATCAGATCACGACTGAGGAAGGATGTTACATATCCTTGGGTTCAGCTGTAGAGAATTACACACGCTTAAGCTATGAGAGTTGGAAGAAAGTTCTTTCAGAAGAAATTGAGACCCAGAAAGAGAAAGTGACTTGCTTAAAAGTATATAACTGGTTACACCAGTAGAACTGGGGCTAACATCTAAGCGTTGGGCCAGTACCTTTGGGTACAGAGAGTCACATTGTCAGAGCAGAACAGAAATAGTCTTGGTAGAATAATATTTCTGTTTTCCTAAAAATAAAATATTACTCCTGCTTATGAAATAAATACATGTGTATTATAGAAAATTTAGGAAATACAAAAACATCTAAGAAAAATAAGATGAAAGAGTCAAGATTTTTACCGTCAAGTTGAATTTCCTTCCAGTCTACTTCTCTACAAATACACACACACACACACACACACACACACACTCACACACACACACACACACACACACACACACACACAGTCTACCAGTTAGAGTTTTGGGCGAGAAAGAGAAAAACACCTAGCTTGGATTTTGAAGATAAGTAAATGAAGGAACTATTAATAGATTTAAAGGAACCAGTAAGGGATGTTGGGACACCTAGGGACTAGCAACATTGAGTAGGGGGAAGAAGTGTATTGGAGCTCAGGGAAAGCTGGAGCTGTGGGAGAAGAACCAGCCATCCAAAATTGTAATCATAGAAGGTGTGGGCAAAGATTTACCAACCTTTCCCCCTTTGGCATGAGAATTTGAATGGTAGTTAACTTCCTTACTGTTTCCCTGGCAGTCTGATGAAGGTTGGAATGTTGCCAAGGGTTAAGAAGCAACTTTGCCTATGCTAAAAATGACCCCAGGACTGGGAGAATTATGAAGACCTGGTGGGGAAGCCATACCTTGGGTCTGTCTAAGTGCAGTGATTACAGAGATTACAGAGACTGTCCCTTGCCAGGACCCTGTGGGGGAGTGCCTGTGGCATCATTTCCAGAGATGATGTTCTTATGAGATAAGAAGCTTTTAAACCAGGGTAGCTTCCTTGCCCCTTGCACCTGAACTGCCATGGCATGGCCTGTAACAGAAACTCCCGCTGAGGAGGGAGTCCTGACACTGCCCTGCTGTGTTTCATGTCCTATGTTCTTCTCAATAACTTCTCTCTACATGTGGCCTCTGTCTTTGAGCATGAATATTCAGTTGAATCTAAGAAAACTCTCCTGTTGGGCACCTGATGGGATATGTTGCTGCCAAAACCATCATGGCAAAATAGGGAGTAGAGGGGCGCCTGAGTGGTTCAGTGGATTAAGCTGCTGCCTTCGGCTCAGGTCATGATCCCAGGGTCCTGAGATCAAGCCCCACATCGGGCTCTCTGCTTAGCGGGGAGCCTGCTTCCCCCTCTCTCTCTTCCTGACTCTGCCTACTTGTGATCTCTCTCTGTGTCAGATAAATAAATAAAATTAAAAAAAAAATAGGGAGGAGAATGGGAAAATACTGCCAGCTCTCTCTTCTCCCGCCCTCCAGTCTCTTGCCACATTGATTAAACCTAACCACAAAACAGAGGTCAAGGGGAAAGAGTCCCATTGTCCTAGCTTGTGTCAGGTGCTTCCTATAGTTTGTTAGTTTATCATTCTCCTGTTGATGGACATTCACCTGTTATGCATAAAGCTGCTATGAACATGTGTGCACGGGGCTTTAGTCATGTTTCCATTTCTCCTGGATAGATTCATGGGAGTGGAATTGGTGGGTCCTAGGATAGACAGCGTCGAACTTTTCAAGAAACCACCAAACAATTTTCCAGAGTGGTTGTACCATCACATACTTCCACTAATAACACCTGAGAATTCCTTTTGGTCCACACCTTTATAATATTTGGTGTTAACAATTGTTTTCATCTGGGCCATTTTAGTGGCTGTGTAGTGATATCTTGTGATTTTAATTTACATTTCCCTGATGACTTACTGATGTTAGGACTTCTTCATGTGCTTGTTTGTCATTCACATATCTTTTATGAAGTATCTATTCAAGTTATTTTTTTTTCAAGTCATTTTTAAAGCTAGATTTTTTTTAATATTTCTTATTTATTATTGAATTGTGTGAGTCCCTTACATATTATGAATACAAGTCCTTTGACAGATTTGTGTGTTTTAATATTTTACTTTCAGTCTGTGGATTGCCTTAATGGTGGCTTTGAATAAGCAAAATTTAATATATTGATGAAGTCTGATTTAGAAATGGTTTTCTTTCTATGTCTTTTCTTTACCTACTCAAAGATTAAAAAAAATCATAGTTGTGAATTATTAAAATGCCATCCCTTTTAAAAAAATGATTTCCATTTTGAAATGAAATCCAGTTTGTATGCTTTTCATTTCCCTACATTTTATTGACTGAATGTTTGTGTCCACTCAAAATTCATATGTTGAAATCTAATCCCCAGTGTGATGGTATTTGGAGGTCACGACTTTGGGATGTGATTAGATCATGATGGTAGGGCCCTCATGAACGGGATTAGTGCCCTTTTAAAAAAGACCCAGAAAGCTCCTTTGTCCTTTTTGCCATGTGAGGAGCCAGCAAAGAAGATGGTCATCTAGGAGCCAAGAAGCAACCCCTTACCAGACACCAAGTCTGCCAGTGCATTGATCTTGGATTCCCAAGCTCCCAGAACTACATTTTTTGTTTAGAAGCCACTCAGGATGTGGGCTTCTGTGTGTCTCTACTGTGGATCCTATTTCATAGTAGGGACATGTCTGTGAAAGTTCATGAGATCCTGGATGCTTAAAGATGCACAGGGACCTTCATACCATCTTTTCCACATGTCTCCCTAACATTAGGTTTCCTTCTTAAAAATATTCCTGATAATTAATTTACCCTCTGGATGCTTATAGGCATCGAAGCTACCAGAAATGAGTCACCTTTTGGGGAATACAAAATGTAAAAAATCGCTTCTTGAAATTAATAGTTTCTTCCAGTAGAATTTTACACAATATAAATTTCATTGAAACATTAGTGTGATCAGAGTTCTGAGAACCAAATCACAGTTGACTTTTGAACAATGTGGGGGTGAGGGGCACTGACCCCTCCCTCCATGAAGTTGAAAAACCTCTGTGTTACTTTCAACTTCCTGGAAACTTAACTGCTGATAGCTCACTGTTGACTGGAAGCCTTCTCAATAATATAAAGAATTGATTAACACACATTTTAAATGCTCTATCTATCATGTACTGCATTCTTACAATAAAGTAAGGTGGAGGAAAGGAAATCATAAGGAAGAGAAAATATGTTTATAGGTCTTGTACTCTATTTGTTGAAAAATAATCTGCATGAAAGTGGACTGAGCAGCTCATACTCATGCTGTTCAAGGCTCAGCTGTACAGTCCATGGACTAGGGTCCATCCGGCTTCAGGAGTATAGTGATTGGGATCAGTCATGATTCCAGTCTGAGCAGCAGAAGATGGTTAATACAATGAGGAACAGGTGTTGTGATCAAGAGACCATCTTCCCTTCTTAAGCATGTCAGGGAACATTTCACCGGGGAAATACACCTGTGCTCAGACAGAGTAGGACTGTTCATGAGGAGCTGGAAGAAAGAGGCATGGAGAGGTGGAGAATGAGGAGGAGTGAATATTGCCATGCCTTTGGGTGTGAGACCCCAGCAGTGGGAGAGGAGACTGAGGAGCTAGCCCAGGCACAGCCCAGGATTGGGTGAGGACTTTGCACCTTGCTCCGTGGCTTCTCTGCAGAGGCTGGAGTGCATGGGGAGACTGGTGGTACCCAGGTCAGTGAAGAGGCTTGAGCAGTTGCTTAAGGTGACAGTTTTCAAATTTTCAAGTAGTTGTGCTTCAGGCTGTTAGTCCCTACAGTAGAATTTTGTCCAGTGTGGGGGTAGGACCTTTGAAGATTTTCCCAGGCTCTGTGGGTAAGTCTAAAGCACCCCAGGTTTTGAAAACCACTGGTTCAGAGGAATGACGAGGGAGTGAGAAGGAGAGGAGGGCCTTGATTAAGAGGTACTAGAAAGTGAGATGGTGACTCCTCTTGGTGACCAACCATCTGTAGGGCGTGAGAATGTGGGAGGATTCTGGTTTGAGCAAGTTCAAACATGACATCAGTGTCAGGCTCCTGCATGGCAACAGGGAGTAGGAGATCTATGGGAGTAAAGTGGGAGGTTTAGCTGTAGATAGAAGGCCAACTTACTGTCAAGAAATACCCATTTTTATCACCTAGAAATAACATTAACTTTGGGAGGTTATGGTTCCGTCCATTCAAATATTGCTGATAATAGTGAAATACTTTCACCTTGTCGTTCATATTCTTTTCAAAGGGTGTATTTCACTCACATTTGTTAGGCACTAAGATTTGTTGCATGCCAGTGACGTAGTGTGATGACTTTTAGGCTAGATGTTATTATTGTCTGCAGACATGGAACTGAAGCTCAGAGAGGTTAGTTGATTTCCCTAAGGTCATTTTAGTCAGGAACCAGGTAGAGCCAGGATTCAAAACTCCTGACTTTGCCAAGGCCAGTTTGCCCTTGAACCTCGGTCTCTCATAGCCAGAATGGTGGGATTTTTTTCCCTGTCATTTATATATGGTAAATGTGGCATCCAGGCAAAGTGTGATTTGCCCAAGAACTTAAGCTGGTAAGTACAGAACGGGGGTGAGAGTCCAGGTGCTGCTTCCCAGCCACTGCTCTTTTCACTCGAACTTCTTGCTTTCCAGATGACTGAGTTTATTTTCCTACTTGTTTCATGTACAGTTGGACCTTTCCCTCTCAAATGGGAAGAGTTAAGAGAATTATGAATGTCATTTTGAAGGACAGAAACACCATTTGAGAAGCAAAACTAACTTTCAAAGCTCATTTGTTTTGGAGCAATGTATGACGATACATTTTCAGCCTGTGCATGAATTTTTTTTTTTTTTAATTAGGAACCTGACTTTCATGATGATGATAGAAACATGGAAATAACTCCAGGAGAAAAGGTGCTTCGGAATACCAAAGAGCAACGGGATCAGCAAAACCGGCTGAGGGAGATTGATGACAGACTGAGGAAACTGAAGGAAAATGTGGTAAGTCTTTTTAATTTCAATTTTAATTGTCGCCAGCAATTGTCTTAAAAAAAGCTTCCAGTTTCCTTGGACTGTTTTATGACTGGTTTTATATTTGTTAAGTCTGTCAAGAAAACTGACATGGGAATTTGTCACAATTTGAGTAAAAATATGATTCATAGAACTTAATGTAATATTATACATACTTTATGTGATGTAATAAACCTGTGAAATACTACGTGAGGTCAGAATAATGATCCACACACCTAATATTCTGTACCTGATGGTGACATGTTTTTTTTTTTTTAAGATTTTATTTATTTATTTGACAGAGAGAGATCATAAGCAGACAGAGAGGCAGGCAGAGACAGAGAGAGAGAGGGAAGCAGGCTCCCTGTCAAGCAGAGAGCCCGATGCGGGGCTCGATCCCAGGACCCTGAGATCATGACCTGAGCTGAAGGCAGCGGCTTAACCCACTGAGCCACCCAGGCACCCCGACATGTTTTTTTTAATGGAAAAAAATTGGTAGTCATTCTCCATGAAATCATCTTTATATATTGGACGTACAGCTTAAATTCTCCCACTTTTTGTTCGTAATTCATAATATATTGTTACTCAATTTAAATATGTTCTAAATCCTTCTTGTGCCTATCTCATGTTTTAAGAGCTTGTCATGTAAAAACATTATTGCTGATGAGAGAAAACTCTTAAATCAACTAAATTGTGAGCTGGTTGATATTCTGATCCTATCAGAAAGTCTCCATAATGTTATGATTTTCCAGCTACCCAGAGGATGCTTCCAGCTGAATCCTTGGCTTTTACCTAAAATGAAACATGACAAGGCTCAACTTATGACTCTCTCTACATCCTCTCTCGCAGGGCTGGTCTTGTCACAAATGCCAGCAGCACCTCCTTTCTGTCTCCTACTAAATCCTGTTATCTTGGGTGATCTTCAAGCCTCATTAAGTTTTAACCACTATGGCTAATTTGCTGTCATATCTTGCCAGCGTTCTTTATGACTCTGAAAATCTCTCTTTTGTCATGGCGCGTATCACCCTTCTGTCAGCATTGTCACCTCCTGTCTAGCCACTTAAACCTGGTCAGTCGCTTCTCTCATTATTCCATTTTATATGCTGTTGCATCGGTGTAAGCATCAGGTAAGTGATTTTGATTAAATTCTGATCTCCTTAGAGCTCTCCCAGAGCGTGCACTGATCCCGATGGAGATTTCCCCCCCTCTGCTCATGTGCAGCTGAATTGCTCTGAACCATTCGCCAGCCATGGACAGCAGCCCTGACTCGGAGCCTAGAGGGTAGGCAGGTTACCTCGTAAGGGCCAGATAGCAGATCGAAGGGGACTGAATGCATTGTGCTTCTCTTTAACATTCATTTTTATTTACTTTTCATGGGAAATGAAATGAGAATTATATCAGGGACTCCTCCATTTTTATCTTCTGAGGGATTTTTTTCTCCTTGGGGCTATTGATACAGGGAAGAAGTAGAGGAAGTAAGAATGGTTAGGGAGTGTAAAGAGGCTCTTGGCCAATAGTTGTGGTGGTAGTGATGGGGCACTGCCAACTTGGTAAATACGGTGTTTGTGGCTTGACTGGTTTTGAAAACCCTGGGCACTTCTCATCCCGTACCTGCCAATCCAAGGCAGGCAAAGCCTGTCATTCTCCATATTTCAGCTCTCCTGATTTCTGACCATTTGTCATATGCCTTGGACATATATCCATTATTTTCTGCTATGTCTCTACTCTTATGTAATTCTGGATGCAAAATCTGGATCCTTTAGGAAATCTTACATTTTTTTTCCAGTGTCATGTGAAAGTTGGCTAGACTCACAGAGATATGGTAAATATCAAAAGTTGGTTGTTACCTAAGCGGAAAAGAATAATACGCGTAAGTAGAGAAGAGCAAGTACTATGTGCCTACGGTAGCAGGCGCTGGTCCAAGTATATTATAACTTACTATGTAGTCTTTATTAGCACTCTTGAGGTCAATATTACTATCCTCGCTTTCCACATGAGGAAATAGAAGTTGAATAAATTACTCAAGCATATGTAGCTACTAAGTGGAAGAGACAGGATCCAAATGATCATCTTTTTTTTAAAAAGATTTATTTATTTATTTGACAGAGATCACAAGTAGGCAGAGAGGCAGGCAGAGAGAGAAGGGGAAGCAGGCTCCCCCCTGAGCAGAGAGCCTGACATGGGGCTTGATCCCAGGACCCTGAGACCATGACCTGAGCTGAAGGCAGAGGTTCAACCCACTGAGCCACCCAGTCACCCCTAAATGATCATCTTTTATCAACTATCTTGTTTTACAGTCAACATTTGGAGAAACTGGTATGATAAAGGTGTATGAGTATTGATGTGTATCATCTTTATGTTTTAATTGCTGCGTCTCATGATACCCTGTGGATCACATTGCGTACCACGTGTGTGAACTTTTTAGGGAAGATACTACTCTGTAAGGCCCAGTGTACCTCATAGATTTCTAGGTACTTTGTGGATGGGGAATCTGGAGACCTGAGTCCTTGTTTCAAGGTTGTCAGTGACCTGATCTGTCAACTTGATAAATCACTTTTTCCTCTTAGAGTCTTGATTTTCTTACTTTAAAATCAAGGGAGTAGGGCTAGAGGGCCTTTGTCCTTTTGCCTGTGATTGCTGGCATATTTTTTGGCAAAAAATGATGTTATTGGTAGTATCTAAAGTTTAGTATGTATGCTTGACAATTGGTATTAATTGGTTTAAATATTCTATTGAAAGTTACTTTTGGAAGTTCAGTAAAACTTTTTAGGAGAATGTGAGATTGTCTTCTGTGTATAGACAAAAGTTAGCCCGCTACCTATAGACCAAAGAGTATGTTTTCTGAACGATACCTTCTAGAAATGGCTAATTTTGCAGTTTTGTCTTATTCTTCTTATTATGAGAGAATATTGTTTCAAGATCACTGGGTAAAAGCAATAATTTCTGGCCATGAACTGGTAATTTAGGGATAAAATTCATACTCAGTTTTAGGGATGCACTGGGCAAGGAGTGAAGGAAGGGGCAGCGTAGGAGCCCTGGGGATAGTCCTGGAACCACCTGAATCCCAGGATTGATTTGCCCATAAAAGTTGGAAAAGTGACTTAATTCTGAGGCTGTGAATGCATGTGTGCCTTGGTCAAGATTGACTGAGGCAGTGGGATCCAGTTAGTCTGGTTAGTCTGAAGGGGGTAGTGGTATTGGTGTCTTTAAAACCAGCTGTCAGGAGCTGGGGAAGGCGGGCACAGTGGGATGAGGTTGAGGCTCGCAAGCGTAGTATGAACTTTAGTGGGCAGACAGGAGTCCCAAATAACAGCGGTGTAAGTAGAGGAAGGATGAGCCATGGCTGCTGGAAGCAGCATATGTGGAACAAATCTTCAGAATTCGCTCGCTATGAGTCAGCGATGGTATGGAGCCGATATGCTGCCTGTATGGGAGAGGCGAGCAAAACGGATCTTATGGATAGTAGAGGACAAGAATGAGGAAGAGATTTAAAAGCAGGTCCTGTGAAGGATTGTTGGTGGGACTGAGTGTATTTATTTAGCTTGGTAAAGAAGAGGGGTGTGTGTGTGTGTTGTGGGGAACGAGGGGATGGTTTAGTAGAAAACCACACAACATCCCTCTCCCAAAGATATCTAAAGGACTACTATTTGAAGTATTAGTCTAAATATTTCACAGCTTCGCTAAAAAACATGGTGATCGGGGGTCCATGAAGAGAGAGATTTCTGGTAAGTATTAAGGAAGAGTTAGCATGATTCAGGATTGGTCTCTGGGATTGATCTGTCTGGGGCAATGTTTTCGAGGCTGGAGTGAGTAGAGAGGGTTTCAGTATACAAAGGGTGGCTGGATGGTTTGGTCCAGCACAAGCAGGAAGCTTGCGTTTGGCAAATGGAGGAGGCGCTGTGCTTTGAGCTCTTTGTCCCACATGGTGGGGAGGATTTGTGCTCAGTCACTCATCTCTTGCCTGGTTGGTTCCCGTGGGCTGAGGAGCACTGCTGTGACCATGGATAAAAGCGTTCTTCTATCAGGCTAACTACTCGAATGGAGATAATTTGAGATGATAGAATCAAGAGAAAATGAAAATAGCTGTATTCATAGAATAAGCAACACAAGACAGACCCTGCAGATGACCTCTCCGTCGTTTGTGTATGATGGGCTCTGGTCCCTGTCCCCTGATTTACCTGTCTAGCTCAGAGAGTCACTTTCTGCTGTTTTAGGTGCTCTACAGGCCTCTCTGCCCCTTCACTCTTTGAAACCCACTCTGCTTTTATTTCCTCCCTGGGTTCTAGTTCTGCTCTGTAAGCTTCTGTACATGGGACGTAGTGGTTAAGAACCGGACACTGAAGCAGCCTGTTTGGGTTTGAATCTCAAACTCTGCACTTCCTAGCTGTGTGACCTTGGACAGGTCTCTTGACCTCTCTGCTTTAGTTCCTTGATCAGTAGAATGGGATAGTTGTAATGAATACCTACCTTATAGGCTGTTACGAAGATTAAATTCATCTTAATTAATGTAAAGTGCTTCAAACAGGGTTTGGCATATTTTGAGCGCTATACAAATGTTTATTATTAGTATCGTTACTCTTATTATTAACATTACTAAGGTGGCATTTACATATGCTTGTTTCTATGGTAATGAGGAGGGGTATAGCAGAAAGGATGAGATTGAAGATAGCGGCGTACAACTTAGAGAAGGATCAAGATGCCCCTTTTCTGATTGAGGATGAAAGGAGAGAAGGATGGGCCTAGAAAGGCAGGTTTGGAGCTGAAGAATAAGTGAGAGAGGTCATGCTTGCATGTTCTCTATCTAGTCTGTGAATTAGAGATGAAAGCATATGACTGGAATGAGAGGGCAGAGTAGGGATGGGACCTTGAAGCAGGGTGGGGAAGGATTGAAATAGATGGTGTGAGGAGGAGAGGAGAGCAATGGTGAACTGGGAAGACAGCCCTGCTGAGGTTGGAACCCTAGCTAGGATAGGGAGCCAGCCCGTGGGGCT